CACAATCCGCAAAACTCATGGTGTAAAGACTATACTAATGAGTAATAGAACAGTTGCACAGCTTTACATACATTTCCTATGAGTATGTTTAATGTACATATATTGTATATAAATATATCAAAGGGCCTAGCCAGTTTCGATAACTGAAGTTTGGTAATTCATAGAGCTGAAAATATTGAAGGTTTTGTTTGATACTTCTCTAATCGCTGGTAAACATAATAAATATCTTAAATGAGGTTAGGTACGACACAATACAATAAATTTCGGAGATATGTGCAAATTTTCAGCACAATATCTGAGTTCCGAGCATCTTCTAAAGCTATTATCTATTATCGCATTAACTTTTCTACTACGCGCTCCTCCTGTTTAGCTCCGACTGAGCTAAGCTCTTCGATTAATGTTATAGTGGATTCTTTATACAATTTCATTGCATTTTCGACTCCGTAACAAGTGCGAGTTGAAGAATTCAGCAATTTAGTAGCATTTCCGCTTAACCCTGTATGCCCACACCACCATAACAGCTTGTAGACTAAAGAATTTTCCATGCATGCATAAGCGAGCGCAAAAGCAGAAGCAGAAGTATTTATGCCCGCAAGAAAATTTCGTATGCAAATCAAAGGGACTCACACATCCAAACATGAAGAGCATAAAGGTAGGCGAGGATACTTCGTCAATTTACCTAGAAAAAAATGGGGTGTAAATACAAAATGAAGTAAGGACTACAAGCAAAATGATTTACTGCGTAAAAGAGTGCTAAATTGAGTACTTAATTAACAGTGATACACGTACTTATGGTAAATATGCGTGATCATTGTGAGTTATGTGTGCATAATCACTTATTTAGAAAAAATATTTTATGTGAGTAGTTAAAAACATGAGAAAGGAAGGCTGAGTTGTTAGGAAATTGTATAGATTTAATTGCCGACTTGAGCATATTTAAAAAATTACAAATATCACAGGCTTATGATTAATGTTGTGCTTTTGAATTTGTTTTTTTTTTTTGACATTCTGATTTTTTTTTTAAACTTTTTATATATTATTTTTAATTTTTCGAAATTTTTTTAACTTTAAAACCTTTTTAGATAAATTTTTTTTTTTAATTTTCTTCTTTTTTTAATTTTACATTATTTTTTTTAAATAATTACATTAATTTTTTATAAATAATTTTTTATATTTTTACAGTTGTAAATCACATATGCATATATATATTTTTTTTTAATTTTTAAATTTTTTATTAATAAACAAATTTTTTAATAAAATTTAATTTTTTTTTGTAATTGTAATTTTTATATTATTGTAATTTTTTTATATTTTTCCAGTTGTCAATTACGTATGAACATACATACAACTGCATCCAAGCTTTTTGTTTACGCACATTAAACATCTGGCCACACTACATCAAATGCATTGTTTATATTGTTGACATTTGCAATGCTTGGACAGCTGGCAGGCAATTTTTCTCAGCGCACATGTTTTTTTCATTATTATTAAAAAATAAACTAAGCAACAAAACTAGAAAGCAAGCAGCATAAAAACAACAGCATGCATATTTTAAATAAACAGAAATAAAAAGAAAAAACAATAGAGCGTACCAAATGGACCAACGATGTGGGTAAGTCAGCAGTGAGGATGCGCTGGCTCAAAAGGCCGTAAGTGGCACGCATTGATTGCATGGCAAACGGAAACCGGGAAACGGCCTGCGGCAATAGAATCGAAATTAAAAGCAGCCTGGCTACATTGGGCGTGGCAGTGGTGGTGGTAGTGGTCACAGCAATAACAAAGCGACGGAAATGCAAATGTTGGGCAAGCAACAACAAAAAGTGCATTTACAAAAACAAGAATAAAAGATATTTTAGAAACTTTTACACAAGCAATGCGCCACCCACTGCTGCAACTTGCAAGCGCGCATTGCAGGATTTATAGCGTAAACTTGCGTAAGTATATGTGTGTGTACGCGCTACTGATAGACGAAGTTTTATTATGCTTGATAAGCCTGTCTTGTAATTTTGTGGCATGCAAAAGGGATGAGTTCTGCATACCAAACAAGGGTGAAGCAGGCAAATATGTATATATGTATGTATGCATCTATGTATGAATATATGTATGTATCTAGGCATGTATATATGTACGTAGCTGCCAAAAACGTAACAGCAATCATATGTAGCAGCGCAAAAGCACAGTTAAATGTAGCTGCAACGCAACGCGCATTTGCATATGCAAAACAGTTGCGGCAGCAAGGCGTGGAGGGAATAAAAACTAGCTATAAAAAAGGCGCAGCTTTCACAAAGCAACATTTGCTCAAACCAGCAACAGCAACAACACCAACACTACCACCATGCCGCACAAGAGCAACGGCAAACACCCAGCAGCGGCATTAACTTTCATAGCAACGCTGGCAACTGCTGCACCGCTGTAACCACCACTATCAACGGCGCGTGTCAGCGGTCCATCAACTTGCTGCTGCTCCTGCCTTCGCCATTCATTTGTCAAGTTGTAAAATTTTCTAAAGTTTCAATGCTTTTTATCACATAGCCAACAACAAACTCTAGTTGGCATGGCGCGTCAACCGCCTGGGCGGCAAGCGTCTGCTGTGCCAGTTGGCAGCGCGTAGCTTTAAAGCCTTCTTGCCGCAGTAGTCGCCTCACTCTCAGTTAGTTGGCAGGGTTTTCTTGCTCGGCAACCGTTTTGCTTGCTGCAAGCTGCTGTGCGCCTGGTAGAATTTGTAATTTGAATAATTTGTGTTGCTGCTGCCGATGTGCTGAGCAAAAAAATTAGCTTATAAATAAATGAGCGTATGCTGCTTGCTTGTTGGTTTGCCTGCCTGGCTGGCGGATTGCGGTTGGCGCTTGTGGTGGCGTTCGTGCGTGTATTTGGTGTAGCTTTTTTCTCCTACGTTTTCTTTTTGCTTTTAAATGATTGAGTTTTGAAATGTAAAGCGTAAGAAGCAATGATAGACTATTGTGATATGAAAGTTTCTTCTTCTTCTCCTTGAGCAGGATAGGGCCGTAGCAAAAGTTTTCCATTGATTGCGATCATTTGATAGGGCTTTCAGTTCGCTGTAAGTGTTCCACATTGACTCAAGTTCGTTTTTAAGTTGTTGTTGTTGTTAAATCTCCGTTACCCGAGCGAAACTTTTTTATCTCAGTCAAAGGGTTGTACTGAGTTTATGCTCATTTTCAAGCAGAAAGATTCTCTGTATCGATATGTGGCGGATTTGTTTTAAGTCCAATGACTGTCATCACAAAATACATTTGAATTTCAGTTATTTATGTAATTTCAAACGTTATGATAATTCGCCGCTAGTATTCAAGACAGTTACCATTGGTTTTTGTTCACAGGTCGTAACGAACTTATATCAGAAGAAGGACTGCAATAGATCGATTGGCTGATTTGCCGAATATACTTGTATATCAAGCCATATGTTGCAAGGGTCTGTGCTCATTTTTTCGGTCAGTCTTTTGCTATCTGGCGGTATTAATGTCGATATTCATGGACTTTTAAGCTGTATAACCAAGATCCGTTTTTTGTTTTTGTGATTATTATTTCGAAGACACGACCCACAAAGTATTACCGCGCGGTCAATCTACTGAGCTAAGGCGGTACTAATGTCGATATTGATGGGCTTTGTGACCCTATATGTTACTGTTAGTGTCGAAAACGTCTTGGAAAGATACAAAGTCTTATTTTAGAGCTGTGATAAACACGAACTGCGCTTTAAATACTCTGCCTCTGAGATATACATACATATGTATGTATATTCGCGAAGGAGATTTATTTTTACACAGTTCGCTATTTATAGTTTTTACTATTAATTTTATTTATTTTTTTAATTTTTTTATTTTTTTTAAATTTTTTTCTACTTTTTATTTTTTTCAATTTTTTTTTTTTTAGTTTAATTTTTTTTTCTTTTTTTATTTTTTTATTTTAATTTTTTTATATATGTATATACGTACTATTTTTTCATTATTATTATAATATTTTTTTTTAAATCAGTAAATTTTTTTTTTAAATTTCAATAATTTCTATTTTGTAACTCCATAAATTCATTAACTGTTCCACTGTACCTACCAACCGTAACCGTGTCCGCAATAACCCGAGCAAGTTTTCATTTTCACACCAAATTTTAATCAGCCAAGTAGAAACGTGTTTCAACCCCGTTGCGGATCAACTAAAAACAATAACAACAATACCCTTCGGCACAAACAAAAGCGCTTTTCTAGCAAGTGAACGCTTTTTCCAATCAATGTCAACAAAATTTGCTGCTGCTCAGTAGGATGCGCTTGCACTCGTCAACAACAAAAACAAAGCCAACGGGGAAAGCACAAAATGGGAAAGGTGAAAGAAGGAAAAGTCAAACACGTGCAACGAAAGGGCTGCGCATGCGTAGCACAACATTTTTACGAAGGGTTGTTAACTTAAAAAGAAAAAGGTGCTGCAAGAAAAAAACAACAATAATAAAAAACTGAGCTATTTAAGTTGCGGTGTGCGCTTATGGATTTAGGGTTGATTTGGAAGACTTTTATTGTGTCGCACTTTAATGTGACTATTGTAAATTTGCAACAACGAAAGCAGCACAATGCAAACTAGTTTCGTTGCACTACATTACAAAAACAAAGTATTTAAAATTTAAATTAAACTTTTCTTTGTTGTCAATGCCAATGTAATGAAAAACAGTTGCTAGGAAAACCGTTTTCCATACGTTACTTTCGAAGTTGCAAGCTACAAGTAAAGCGAAAGTGTTCGTCGTTTGTGGAAATTAAAAAAAAAATGAGTTGAAGTAAGGCGAATGGACACGTGCAATGACACGCGTTGTGTAAATGAATGAATGAATATGTAAATTAAAATGAATTCAGGTTACACATATGATGCTACATTATGCCGCTTAACTTAATTAGATAAAATTTTAAAGGTAAAAACACATAAGCGCATTAACAAAGAAAAGCTAAGCTAAATACTACACTTAAATACTTATATACAACAGATTCAAAGTGATTAACGAATATTTAATATTTTTATTTATTTTTATGCGCATTTATTTAACCACAACTTGGCATAGCATACAATTTAAATTAATATTAAGTAATTGCAATGGAATATGTTGGCATGTAAATAATTATATGGTAATAACAATAGTTTTTTTATTATTATATATCATAACTAAAGTTGAAAGTGCCAATTTGCCAGAGTAGCAAATCATAAATTAACAATTTCTAACCAATTTTAAATAAAAGTTCTTACATTACTAAGAAAAACGTGATTTATTTAAGTAATATTTACTCAACGTGTGCCATTGAGTGGTACAATATTGCCGGCAACGGCTGGCAGTGTGACTACATGTTTCACAGCTACTGTAACCGCCTCCAAGGCGGCAGGCACCGGCACATTTGCTACCACATTGCTGGGCACATGAAAGAAATACAACATAAAACCAGCAGCGAGTAGAAAATGCGCAGCTAGTATGCCGATTATGAGGAATAGCGACAACTTAGAGTTACGTAACGCTGGAGTAAGCACGAAAATCAAGACGGAGCCGGAGAGTAGAGCGGCGGTAATAACTAGTAGCCATTGTAGCAAGCTAATCTGTGGCGCAAGAAATAAAAAAACAACAAAATTTAGTTCTTAAATAGTTGCTGTAGACGTGTATAACTCACCTGTATAACCCACAATACGGAGACGGGTATGTAAATAAATAACGAATAGCCGTAAATGCACATTAGCGATAAGAGAGAGGGCGAATAGTCGGCCTGTCGAAGCAAAGGATTATAAAGAACAATAAACATGCATACATATTAACATTATTTAAAGAGAAACGCTTGTACACTTACGCTTTCAGTCTCCACATCATCGGTAATCGGTTTGAGACTATACTTAAAGAGCGCCCACAAGGCGATGGGGAAAAGATTGGCATAAATGAAAATACAAGTGGCGGCATAGGAGACTAAGTGGAAATTATAACGCCAGTGATAGTTGTCATTGGCATGCTGTAAATAACTTGCAATATTGCCACTTATGGCAATCGAAAAAATCTGCGCAATTTTTCCATAGGATACAAATATAAGAAAATAAACAAATATATCGAAAGAAAACCACAAGTTACTTACCAGCGTTACTGTAATCCAAAACGGACCGTACAAATCAGGATTTTGGCCAATGCTCGAACGCAAGTAGTTGCCACCAGCTCGCTTTGGTATCATAGAATTAGCAATACGCTCGATCACCACATATGTGTCCACATTAAAGAATTGCTGATAGTATTCAAGCGTTAGAAATGACACCTTATTGTTAGTGCCAGTATCAACGCCGCCACCAGCGTCGCCACCGCCTGCTGCGGCATTATTCATATTTCCAGCACCACCTGCGCTGTTGCTACCACTTAAAATGCCTGCTGAATTGCTCATGTCATAAATCAAATCGTTGAGTGCATTACTGCCGCGCGTTGCACCTGCAGCAGAACCGCTAGAATGGGTTGGTGAGTTGACATTTATTTGTGCCGGTGGGCTGCTCATGCTGGGTGTGCTATTGTAATCACGAAACTGTAGCAGATCATCTGCACCACTAGATTGCATTTTTAATCACACAAATATCTTATGAAAGGCGTAAATGGTATAAATATTATTTTATTTGCCAACGACACGTAAATTAAAAAACAGAAAACTTTGTTGTTGCTGAACTACATTGACGAATCATATGATGTTGCGTTGCCAACCACTTTGCGTATACTGTTTATAAATATAGGGTTGCACGCGTTAGGCTTAAATATTTATCTTTTAAAAAAACAAGTAAAGTTTTTTGATTTTATTTATTAAATATAAAAAATATTTTATGCAAGTTTTTATTGTTTACTAAAAATCCAATTTATTTGGCTCAAAAGTTTACACAAGTTTTTACTTAAAATAATCGATAACGGAACGTTAAGTGTGCTATCGGGAAATTTGTCATTGACAACTTAATTTATAAATCGGCTGACAGCAAATTTACTGTAAGTTTTAGAAATAATTTATAATTAAAAAATTTAGCGCTATAAAAAAAGTGTATAAAGAAATAAACTATTTTGCAAAATATCTTGTTGCTGGTTTTGTACGTTTTAAAAATATTTTTTTATGCAAAGCCTTCGCGTCAATGCAACCGGAAGCAACCGACAAAAAAACGAAAAATAGGAAAAAGTAATACTATTCAAAAAATAGAGCTAGAATATGGGATATATGCAGTTCTCATAAGAGCAATCACAACGAAATTGTGGAATAAAAGATGTAAAACATTATTTATGCTTACGCTGTGCCGTCGTGAGCTTTATTCAAACTCTAACTAATAGCTACGTAGTCATACACTTTATTCAAACTCTAATTAAAAATTAACAATATTTTAACCTTCACATCGTCTACTCAGTAATTTTTACTCTTTGCCTGAATATTAAATTGAAACCGTGCAGAGACTTCAGCACCATTTGGGACTGCAACACTAACTCTTCATGTGGATCACGCAATTTAACTTCAAAATTGCGTAAAATCTGCACCGTTAACATTTTCATAATTAGTAATGCATAATTACGACCTATACAAATGTGTGGTCCACCCGAGAACGGCATATAGACATTTGGCGGCAACTGCTTTTTCTGTGTTTGCGCAAAACGCAACGGCTGAAACTCCTCCGGCTTATCGAAATATTGCGCATCATGTGCAAGTCCATACAGATCAATCCAAAGTGTTATGCCAGCACAGTAACGCCGACCACCGATCACCGTATCGCCGGTGGTTTGTCGTCCCGTGAGTGGCACTACAGTATAGTAACGTAATACTTCTTTGATGAAAAGATCCAAATATGTCAAACGATTGAGTATGTCAACTGTGAGTGCAGCACCAACGAACGCCTGCTCTTCAATTTCTGTCACCAATTTATGTTGTACCGCCAGATACTTACCTAAACTGTAGAGCACAAAACACATGGCTGCTGTGGTGGTGTCAACACCCTGTATAATACGAGGATATTTAATACAACCGTAAGCATTTTTGTGGTTTCAGTTGCAGGCAAGTTACTCACCGCAAACACAAACGTATTCACTTCATTGCAAATTTCGTTGCGTGTCAACGCTTCCCCAGCTATTTGTGTGGTTAACAGTGTGTCCAATAACGTACGACGCTGCTTGCGTATGCCTTCCGCCGGTGGTGCTGTAGAAGTGCCAGAAACCAGCGACTCCTGCTGTTTAAGCGCCTCGACACGCTCATCAATCACAATCCCCATCAGCTGATGTATCACTGCGACAGAGGCGCTCAGCTCGCGATACATATTTGTGCGTTGAAATATGAAATCCAGCGCCAATAGTGGGTTCGTCATGCGTTTGAAGAGCAATTCACTGGTTCTGTGGCATTTCAAAGACATTTTGTGTTTAACAAAAGGGAAATTTGAAAATATTCTCACAAATTACCGACTTGTGAAAGGCGTGCGCATAGCGATTATGTGGATCAGTGAGTGAGTTCAACTGTTTGCCCATAGAGGTTTCTAAATTTAACAAAGCGGCATGTTCTAAAAATATTTACGAATATTAATTAGTTTAATTCCCCTACCTACAATCGCATCCAGCACACAAGCGAAGAGATAATGGCTTACTTCGACTGAGCTGCCCTCAGTGGCAAGCAGTTTTCGCACTAGTTCCTCACCATGCTGAGCTATCACGGGCGCGAAAGTGTTTAGTATATTTGCATTAAAAGCGGGGCTTAGTGCGCGTCGATGTGTTTCCCACTGTTTGCCTAGAGCAAGTGATTAAAAGGAATTTCTATATTATTTTCGAATTTATTTCATAACTTTTCCAGCTTACCATGACTTATCAGCAACCCATTACCTATCAATATGCTTAGTTGTTGGAATGCCACCGGTCTCGTTAGTGTCGGTTCATTCAAAGCTTCACGCGTTTCCGCTGGACTATGCAAAAAGACCCACAACTCAGGCCCGAGCCATAAACGATAGGTTTCACCGTATTTAACACGAAACTCAGCGACGCTTTTAAATAAAGCTGTGCGAGTAAATTTAGAAAGCTTAAAAAATTATTATTTTTTTTAAACTTATTTTATTATTTTTTTTTTTAAATTAAAAAAAAATTTATTTATTATAATTAATTTTTTTAAATTTATAAATATATAAACCGATTCGAGGCATATCTTCTGCCTTTTAAGAACAAAATTATTTAAAACACTCACATTCTGGCTTCAATTTACTGATCATTTGCACATTACCGACCAACGGTAGGGCCCATGGTCCGCGTATGCGTCTACCGACAGTAAAAACCGTCCACTTAGCATGTATAAAATAACATGCCGCACAGGTTAAAAATATAATTAGCACCAAGGACATGTTTTAAGTTACTTATGGATGTAATTTTTTATTGTATATACATAAATTTAAATATTATTTTTATTGAATTAATATTTTATCATTTAAAAAGTTTTTTTTTATATTTATTTTTTAGTTTAAATATTTATAGTTATATTTATTTTAATTTTATTTTAAAACTACATATATAGTTTATGTTTTTTGTTTTCAATAAATAAATTTTATTATTTTAATTATAGTTATATTTATTTTAATTTTTTTTTTATTTATATATGTAGTTTTTATTTTATAATCTAAATTTAATTTTAATTATTTTTATTACATTTATTTATTTTATTTTATTTTTTTTTTAACTTCGTTAATAAGTTTGTATTTGTTTTCCTTTTTCTTTTTTTTTTCCTTTAAATACTTTTCTCTCCAATTCAAATTGAATTTGTTTACTGTTTAATTACCGTTTTTACACGTTTACTTTTGTATTTACTCACACACACACACATGTAGACTTAAATAATATCTCAGTATGTTTCTAACTTTTTTCTTCTTTAATCCAATCAGTTGGAGTGGCAATAAAGATTTACGTGTGCTCCGAGCGATAAGCTTCGCTAGACTGACCGATTCAGCCGCAGAAAACCAATATTTTTTAAATATTGATATATGTTCACATGTATGTACATACACACGCTTGCATGCACCAAAAAGCTACTTTGAACTCTTTTAATTAGTATTTGTGCATAAACCAGCATTTGTGTGTCTAAATGCAAAAAAAAAAAAATGCAAAAAGGCGAAACCCGGTTTTTGATATTTTTTCAACTTTTTGAATTTGTCCTAATCTCAAAATTTTTTGATAACTGAAACTAATTTATTATAAAATATTTTTTAAATTTTTTACCTGCCATTTTTTATATAACTTTCTTTAATTTTTTTTAATATATTATTTGTTAATTTTTAATAATTATTTTTTGTAATAATTTTTGTGTTTTTATTTATTTTTTCCTTTATATATATTTTTTTGTCAACTACTACACAGCGTAACAGCAATCATAAACCAATCACTACAATTGACGCCACAACAATTTATTTATTGAGACAATGGCACGTCCAAGACAATAAAGAAAAATCGCTGCCAGCTTGGTTTGGACTACTGTACATAGACTAATTGATTACGCAGAGATAAACAGCAATGAAAATATATTTCTTAATTAGACGGTATGTATTTATAGCCATTGAAGGGTAACCGCTTGCAGTGTATGGTTTTAAATACACAAAATAAACGAGACCAAAAAAANTTTTTTTTTTTGAGTAAAAAAATTAAAAATTAAATATCATATGGCATGAAACCAACTAAAGTCCTCACAACTGTCGTTTCCCCGATTTTGTTGCAAAATATTAAATATTTTCATAAGTTTTATTTCTTTTATTTCTTCTTATTTGGCTCTTTTCTTTCTGTTTTTTTGGCTATCATTATAACATTACATATTTTTATTTTACACATAACCATTTGTTTTTTAGAATTTACATATATTTCTGATATTCTGTTTGATTTTAAAGCAAGTACGTACAGGGTACCAACTAGAGCACATTTAAAGCGTACGAATAAATGCTACAGTTAACAGCTGTCACATGTCATACATATGTATGTGTGTCAGCTCCAAATATGTAAACTGTAAATTTCATTCCTCACCTCTCAGCTGCCGGTTGTCAAATGACAAAATACATTAAAAAAGCCAGCACTGTTGTCGATTTTCGGCATCATTTTTGTTTTTTGATGCTGTCAGTGGTCAACTGCCAACTATCAACTGTCTAAATGTTGCTGTTTTCTTTTATTTCTGCTCAATTCAATTCATTTTGTTTAACTATTTTCATTTAAAAATAAATTTTACTGGTTTTCTTTCGCTTTTGATTTGTATATATTTTTTATCGTTTTATTTATATGTTTCTATATGCTTTCTTGTTTTGCAAATACTTTTTTAAATGATTTTTTTATTTTATTATGTTTTTGCCTTTTCTTATAACTGCTCGTTGGTTTTCGTTCACATTAAATACTTGGGTTTTAAATATTTTTCAATATTTGCTTTACATAGTTATAACACTTCGTTCATATATCTACATATTAAACATTATTATTTTATTATCTCTGCTTAAAAATCTGTATATTGTTTGAAGCTTCATTTTTAATATTTATAATATATACTTTTTTAACACTGTTTGTCGTAAATCATTCATAAATTCAATTCAATTTAACTCACTTGCTTTCGAATCTCTTCATAGTTGCGCATTCTCTCACTCTCTCCCTCTCTCTTTCGCTGTCATAAAAATTTTCCTTTCAACCATTTTCCTCTTTTTATCTAATTTTGTGTATTATCTTTCTTTCTTTCCAACTCTTCTTTGTATCTCTTTCACTCTCACACTCTGTTTTTGTTTGCACATTCTTAATTTATAAATTTTTAATAATGCTCTAACTGCTTAACTCTCTACTCTTTTCACATTCCACACTCTTTTTCTCTCTGTATATATAACTTTCGTTTCTCCTTTCCTTTTTATTCATTTGTTTAACATTTCTACATATTTTTTTCTTAAATTTTTTAATTATTCCGTAAAAAAGTTTCGCTCAAAGAAAAAAATCGCTCGGAGTAGCTTTTTAGGCTTGTTTTTGATTGTTGTTGTGAGTAGATCAGTTTACGGTAATATCTTCTGGAAATAATATATGTAAATATAAAAAAAGGGTAAAATAAAAAACGTTTAAAAAAATGTTTAATTGCTAAAAAAATAATAATATTTTAACAAAAAGTTTTATTAAAGGTTTAAAGGCTTTTCTGGAAATAAACACCAAAAATAAATTAAATATAATAAAATTAAAGCTACAAATAAATGTTCTACTGCTGAAAAAAATTTAAATGTAAACAAAAATTTTCATATGTAAAAAATATCAAATATAAAATATTAAGAAATGCAGATGAATTTAGAACAATATGAAGGAAAATTTAAAATAAAAATATTTATTACTACCCCGGAAAAAAATATAATATAATTTTATAAATCATATGCAAACTGGATTTAAAAAATTTTATGTTTTAAAAAAAATGATCACTTTCAACTGTGATAAAAAAGTAGTAAAAAAAAAAAAATATTGAAAAAAATTGTCTATAAAATTACATTTATATTCAAATTTCATTTTTAAAATTCATTTATACTAAAGAAAAAATTTATATAAACAAATACAATATTAAAATGAAGCGCATTAAATAACAAAAAAGATATGAAAATTCCAAAATATATTTTCATAATTAAACATTAAAAGATTAAAAAAAAAAGGTTTTTAAAAATAATAATAATATATAATATACATAGAAAAAAACTTAAATAAAAATTGATAGTACATAACTTACAAAAAAATACGAAAGTTACAATATATAAAAATATTTATAATTTAAAAATTAAATATTCAAACAAATTTGATAAAAAAAATTAAAACAAACTTAATAATATAAAAATTTTGATTTGAAAATTAAAATATTCAAAAACAAGGAAAAAAGTTTTAAACAAATAATTATAAATAATAATATTTAAGATTAAAATAAGCAATATAAAAAAAAATTTAACTAAATAAAATTTAAGATTAAAATATTCAAAAAACAAAACGGAAAAAGTTTTAAAAAAAATTATAAGTAACAATACATATATAAAATTTATTAAAAAAAACTGAAATAAAAAATATAAAAAATTACAAAAAAAAGTTCCAAAAATTACAAAATATAAAATTTTTTATAGTTGAAGATTTAAATATACAAAAACAGAAAAAAGTTGTTTTAAAAAATAATAATACATAAAATTTATAAAAGAACAAAAAAGTAATATATACATACATATATATGTATGTATGTATATATATTAATAAAAATTATTAAAAAAAAGAAATCAAAATAAAAATTGAACTGCGTATTTTAGAAAAAAGATACGTAAAATACAAAAATACTAAAAACAACTTGATGAAAATGCTAAAAATAATAATAAACAATTGTTATTAAATTAAATATGTTAATAAAAAATTATTAAAAAGTAAAATAGTTTTTAATTGTTAATTTTTTTTTATAAAAAAAAAAACAAAATTTAATAAAAAAAATATAAATTAAAAAAAAAATTTTATTTGTTAAATTTTAAATTTTTTATTTAAAAAACATTATTAAAAAAAATAATAATTAAAATTTAAGTGCGAAAGAAATTAAACTAACTTCAAAAGAAAAAATATTAAAAAGTAAAATAATTTTTAATTATTAATTTTTCTATTATGAAAAAAAACAAAATTTAATCAAAAAATATAAGTTTAAAAAAATTGTATTTGTTAAATTTTTTATAAAAAAAAAAATATTAAAAAAATAATAATTAAAATTTAAGTACGAAAGAAATTAAACTAACTTCAAACAAAACAAAGTAAAGAAAAATAATAGAAAAATAATAAGTTCAAATAATCAGACGTTAAAACAAATTTCACTTTAATAATGCATACATATGTAAGCAGCTAAAACGCAACTGAATAAAAAAATACAAACTACTTCGAAATTTCTTTTTATTTATTTATTTCTCTTCATGCACTTATCAACTTATATAACTAAGTGTAAATATATGTATATGTGTTATTTTTAATTCGTTGAGAACCTAACTGTTTATTATTCTTTTTTCTTCTTTGCTATAACTACGGCTTAACGCAAAGCGAGAGACATACAAAACTTACAAAAACAAAATGTTTTAATGCACGTTTAGTTTTTTCTTTCGCACTCAATGCATAATTGTGTGGTGCATTATTTTACAAAAATACAAAAATTCACAGTAATTATTTTAAAAATATATAAATATTTGCAATATATATTGTATGTTTGTATGTAAATGTGTGTATTTATATTTATTTGTATCAATGTTTGTATTTTATAAATGTATGCATATTATTTTAGTTTATACATATGTATATGTATGTAACATGTGTGTGTGTGTGTAATGTAATAAATTGGTATATTTTTTATGTTCACATATACAGTTTGTATGCATGTATGTATTTGTATGTTTATTTACAAAGCTTTGTTCGGTTTTTATTTTATTTTTATTTTTATTTTTGAAAAAATTAAATTTTTAATTTAAAAAAATATTTTTCTTAATTTCTAGAGCGCTAAAATATTTTATATTTTGCACAAGCGCGTCGCGTCATCGTGTTGATTTTTTTATTTAACTCACTTTTATTCACCATTTTTATATTTGGTGAAAAGCTTTTTTGACAAATAACAACTTTTTGTCTTCTCAACAATCTATATTTTTAAATTTAATTTGTATAAATTATTTTTAAAGATATAAATATACCTAATCTATTTATAAAAAACTAATTAAAAAAAACCAGCATAATTTAAAATTAAATTTTGCAAAACTTATATTTATTTTTCTTTTTTTTTTTTTTTTGGAAAATAATAGTGTGTATAAAAATAATTTATAAAACAAAAAACAATTAATTTATAAACAAGAAAACAATTTACAAGAAAAAAAATGGTTTATAAAAATAAAATAAAAAAAATATATTATAAAAAAAAATGTAATTTTTGTCAAACAAAATTTTTAAAATTTTTCTTTGAACTGTTTATTACTTTTTTGCTGTTTTTGTGGAAAGATCGCGAGCGGGACTCATGAAAATTTTATTTAATGAAAACAATATCTCAGAAGAAATTAGCAAAAATAAAGAAAAATTTAAAAATTTAGAAAATATATAATATTATATAAAAAAACTAAAAAAAAATAAAATAATAAAAAAAATGTAAAATCATGAAAAAATATTTAAAAGTTATATTTTTAAATTATAAAAATTCTCTTTCTATTTTTAACAAAGGAAACAAAAAAAAAATGAAATAACTTCTAATCTTTAAACTAATAATTTTTGAAAGTTTTAAAAAACATAGTTGTATTTTTTTTTTAATTTCAAGTAATCTATGTATTAATATTTTTAATTTTAATTAATTTTAAAATAGAAGAAAGGTTTTGTATTTTATTATTTAAAAAAGTTTGCTCAAAATTTAAACAAATAAAATTAAAAACATGTATTTCAAAGTTATAAAAAATCTCTTTCTGTTAATATAGAAATAATATATAAATCAATAAAATGTTTACAAATTTTTTTTATCAAATCTTTCATTTTATATCATTACTTTTTAAACATTTTGAAACAATTAATGGAAAAAAATTATTTTTATTTCCAAAATTTTATTTGTTTAAGCTTTTAGAAAACTTTTTATTTAAAAAAATTTTGTTTTCTTGCATTCTTAATTTTAACTAATTTTTTTTTTTAATTTTGAAACATTAAATGGAAAAACAATAATTATTTTTAAAATTTTAGAAATTTTTTTCTTACAAATGTTTTGAAGCAGTAAATGAAAAAAAGTTTATTTTTAAAATTTTTTGTGTAAGTTTTTAGAAAACTTTTTTTCAAAAATTGTTTTTTAATTGTTGATTTATTCTTTATTTTTAGAGCCCGCTATTCCGCAAAAATTATAGACAAAAGTAATCCTTACAAACAAAATATGAATTTTATTTATTTTCTTTATAATTTATTTTTCATTTCTTCGAAATTAATACAATTTTTTTAAAATAAATTATAATATTTCTTTATTTGCTTTAAGCTTAAATATAAAAACTTATATACAAAAAATTAGAAAGCAACAATTATAAACAATTTTGGTTACAAAGAAAATACAAAATATTTAAAAATAAAAATGGAAACAAACTATATTAATGTGACGAGAATTATAACAAAAAATTTTAAATAAGTATTCGAAATAACTAAATGCATCAAATTTTTAGGTTTACTACTTTTTAATTAAAAATTAAATACATATTTTTTGCATTACTAAAAAAATTAAACTTAATTATTTTTTATTGCAGCTTTTGGTGCAAATAAAACTCAACACAAAAATACGCAGCAGATAACCGATAAAAAAATGTTAAATGTAAAACAGTTTAAAATTTTCGTTTAAAATTAGTAAATTTATTAAAAATAATTATTATAAATATATATATGTAATTACACAGCAATAATGATATTAAAATAACTATAACAATAATTTTAGCAATTTCCACAATTACAAAATACAAAAAATTAAATTTAAATTAAATATTTATATGTATTTATACAGTTACAGTGGTACAAATTAGCGACTACTTTAGTTATTTAATGAAAACATAATTTTTCTTCTTTCGACAATGTAAAATATTTTTTGTGTGTATTTTTGTAAATAAAAAAATGTTTGCGTTGTTTTTGAATGTTTTAGTTTCCTCAGCAAAAATGGCAACCAGAAATCGTGAAAATTATTTTTTCAGCATTTTTTAGTATTTTCAGCATAGTTTTAGAGTTTATAAAAGAAAAATAATAATAACAAAATAAATAATAAAAATTTAAAATTTATGACAAAAATAATTTATAATTTAAATTTAATGCATTCTTATATTATTTTAATTGTAAACATTTTTGGCAAAAAAGGCGCAAATAACTATTTATTTTTATTTTTTGTAACTGAACTTTTATATTACACTAAAATAATTTTTTTTAAATAAATATATAGTTTGCAATATTATGAAATTTACTATTTTATTTTTCTGATCGCAACATAATTTTTTTTTTCAAACATATTTTAAACTAAAAAAATATTTAAACATATATATTTAAAATAACAAAAATTATTTAAAATAAAAAAACTATTTAAAATTAAAAAAAAAGTATTTAAAATAAAAACAAATAAATAAATTTTAAAATTAAAAGTAATAAAAACAAATTTTAATATAAAAAAATAAATTTTAATATTTTAATATAAAAATTATGTTTTTTTAAACAAATTATAGTCTTCAATATACGACATTTACAATTTTATTTTTTCTGACCCCAACATAATTTTTTGTTTTCAAAAATATTGTAAAGCAAACAAAAGTTATTTAAAATAACATGATTTAAAAATAATATAAAAAAATATATATAAAACAAAAAAAATTATTTAAAACAAAAAATATTATTTTAAATACAAAAAGTTATTCAAAATAAAAAATTTAATATAGAAAAAAAGTTTAAATTTAATAATAAAAAAATATTTTGTTATTCTAACAAAGAAATTAACACCATAAATTTAAAAATCACAGCTCAAAATATTTTCTTAAAGTAACTATGCGAACATGCTGTTAAAGCCAATTTAAAAAAATATAAAAATGCAAAACTTATTTAAATTTCAAATTTTATTGTTTTCTTTAAATTTTAATTACGTAATGTTGCATGGCAATTTATTTTGTATGTTTATAGTACACAGAAACTTCAGTCTCAGAAAAAAAAATTATATGCGATATATATCTTTTTTTCATTCACTTTACATATTTGTACAATAAATTTTAGTTTTTTCTTACAAAACTCAAATTTCGTTGTTTAAAATTGCAGATATAACTTAAAATAATATTGCAAAAAATTTAAATTTTAAGTAAAAAAAAAATGCCTCGTAATTTTTTATTTGAAATATTTAAAACAGAGAAAATAACTTATTTAGACAGTTTCCAGTAACAATTTTTGTGAAAAAAATTCGCTAGAAATTTTTCTTTAAAATATTTAGCATAGTTCAAATAACTTTATTTTGAAAATATGTAGAAAACAATTTTTTTTTAGTGAAACATTAAACTTTTCATAAACAAAGTTTCAAATATTTTTACATAAAAAAATGATTTTCACGATTTCCGTTAACACACATTTAAGCTATTTTTTTTAACAATTTTTTAATATTTATTTAACATTTATTTTGCTTTGCAAATTATTTTGATGTTTCTGCAAAACTTGTTTTTGAACTCAACACTGATTTCATCAATATCTTTTACAATACAAGCAATATTTAAAATACATATTTTTTTTTTGCTTAGGCTTGCCAATTTTTTATTTAATATTTATATTTTTGATTTTTTGAGTTTTGGTGACGCATTTCTTGCTAAGCTTAATGGTTTAATGGCTTTTTTATATTTTCTTTAATTTTTAATGCATCAATACAGATCACAATCAACGCTTTATCATATTTATATAAATTACTACTTTTTTTTGTTTTTTTAATCATAATTTTACGTTTGCTTGAACGCTGCGCTACTATGCAGCGATGCTATTACACAACTACAACTACAACAAAAATATAAAAAACAGCAACAGCCACAGCAGCAACAAACTACGCTAGTACAATAACAACAATAACTATTATTATTACGGTTTTTCTCTTTAAAAAAACGAAAACGAGCAAAGAAGTATGCATAAAGTGGGCGTGGTAGTGGGAGAAATGTTTGGGTTGGGTGAACAATTAAAAATAAATAAAATAACTGCAAAAAACTACGAATTTAACGAATAGCAATCGGCGCTAATAAAAATATTTGGAAATTAATAGAAAAAAAAATAATTTAAACTCAAATAAAAATAAAGTAAAAATATGCCAAAAAGCAAAAAAAAAAAAAGCAACGAAGTAGTAATATTACAAAGCCCTTAAAGGGTTAATAGAACAATCTAAACAAACTACGTTTAACGGTTTATATAAAAATAGTTTTCCGCACTTTTCGGCGCATATTTGAAGTATAAAAAATAATTCGAGTGTAAACCGGCAAAAGTGTGGCATATTTTTTGCAAAATCGTGGAGTTGCCACTACAACACGTGGTACGCATGCGTCAACAGACTTTTTGTTTTTACTTTTTAGGCTTTGTAGTCCTGCCTTAGGCGCGACGCGTACAATTGAAAGCACGGCAGCATTTGAAGCCACATTCCCATACGTGTTAGCGTGAAAGAGGGGAAGAAGAAGAAAAATTTCTAACAGAGACATTTGGTTTGGCGGCTACGCTATGCTTTTAAAACCTTAACTGTCATGTATAGCTAGTGCGCGGCGGTGTCGGCGGCGCTGACTGTTGTCGTTGCTGTTGTTGTTGCTGCTGCTGAGCGCTGCCTGTGCGCATGCTCATGTCTTTGGGAATGTTTTCGTTGGCTGTAAAGCGATGGGAGTCAACGATTTGAAAATACTAAGCCGTGTGAATACCTGCTTACCTGCCGCAGCAGCACTGCCGCCGCTCGCATTCGGCGTGGTTGCCATAGCGGCTGTTGGCTGCTGCTGCGGTTGCATAACGCTTTGTTGTTGTTGTTGTTGCTGCATACTGCTATCGCCCACTTTCGTCGCCAATGCCATACCGCCGAGCGCACTGGCCGGCATTGGTGGCAGCGGCGCTTGTTTGCTTTTCATTGCTAACGGTGGTGGAGCTGCTGTCACTGTGCCGTACAACTGCGCCGATTTGTTGGCGGTTGAAGTGCCAACGCCAGTGCTGGCATAATGATTCATGCTCTCTGCGGCGTTGCTGGGCGCATTGCTGTTAATGCTGATGCTGCTGCTGGCCACTGATTGGTTTTTACTTGCTAAACTTACGCTAGAAATTGCTGATGGTAGCGGAGATCTTTGTGTGTCACTGCTGCTTTCGCCTGTGTACCTGCAGAGCGGCGGGAGAGTGCGTTAATTAACATTAATTACGGGATTTTGAAGGCATGCAGTGTGAAAATTGCATATTCAGCGCGTTTAAATGTTGCTGAATTGGTTATTTTATATGAAAGGTATGCCGAAAATGCAGTGCTTTTAATCTCTTTAATAAAACAACTACTATTGAACATCTAATTCAACGAATTCCACAGCGAAATTCAATGTATTTTGCGAAGCTAAATTATTTCAATTGGCATTATATGAATTAAACACATTTACTTAAATAATTGCATATGCTTTTTAAGATTAAAAAATTAAGTGTTTATAAAAATATTTATTCAGCGCTCAATAATGCTGATTTGTATTATATTTTTATGTAGTATACTTTCGCGCTTAGAAAAACTCTTTTAATTAAGAAAAATATTTAAATTCATAATAAATCGGGATACAGCACATGTAGCGATGCGTTAGACCAATTTATAATGAATTTTAACTGTTAAATATTATTGAACTTTTCCATACTTGTATTCATATGTGTAGCACATAATACTAGTGTATACAACTTAAATTCAGCATAGCTGTAGAATACATATCAGAGCTGAATATCAACTTTTGGCGTAATAAAAAACTTTAGCATTAAACTTACAGTTTGTAACAACTGCAATTGCTATTCAGCACTGCTCAATTGTCACATTTGGTTTTAACTCGTAGGAAAAAACCCAATGCTACATACAAACTACTAATCACTTAATGTATTTTAAAAGTCAATTTGCAAATTGGTGTTTTATCACGACTAGCGTTTGATTGACTGAATGCGGGTACTCACTTTATATTTGTATATTCACGTCCGACTTGTAAGCTTTGCTCTTCGGCACGTTTGCGTTGTATTAGCGTTTGTATGTAATGCTGCACAGCATAATAAACAAATTTATATTGTGCTTCAGTTTGTACTAAACCAGAACGTTGGGAGCGTAACATTTGTATTGTGCGCTGTATATCGATTTCGGTGCCCAGACCTGTAGGTAACGGTAACGGAAACAATTAAAATACACTGCAAATTCAGCAGCTGCTGTGCAGAACTTACCGTATCTATCGATTTGATCGAGAATCATATCAATCACAATGAAAGTGCCCGTGCGTCCAATGCCCGCTGAGCAATGTACACAAATTGGACCCTAAAAATATTAAATAATAATTAAATAAGCATAAAAAATATATTAAAATATATATTTAAAAAAAAAAAAAAATATTAGCTTCACTTACTGGATTCTCGCCTGTCATCGTTATTTGGCTCTGCCTAGAATTAACGTCTTGCAGGAAATTCAGCACACAACCCGGATCCGTGGGCACACCATGATCGGGCCACACTTGAAAGTGATAGTGATAGATACGGCGGTCAGGCTTATCACGCCAAGAGAATAGAAATTCACGCAGCGTATAATCATTTGTTTTGTTTTCTGTGAGGCATTGTATTTTCGCTGGACCGAATTGTCGACATTGGCCCTCATCCGGCCAGTATTTGGCACATTTACTGCGGTCTTCAAGAAAAAGTAATGAAATTGTTAGTTGTAAATTACATGAAATTTGTGAGTTAAAGTGCGCTGAATTGAATATTTATAAAACTGGCTCCACTAAAAATCTGTGTGTGTCAAAAATAAATATTATAAATAAGTAAATTTAGCGCTGAATTGAAATTAACTGCTTATTTTGGCGGCAAAAATTGTATTACTGCTTTAAAAAAAGCATAAATAGTCAATATACCTATGTATAAACTCTTATACAAATCCGCTTAATTGAATCCAAACTTTGTTATTATAAATTTAGGCTCAAAAATAATTGCTGTCCTCTTTTTAATGGATGCGCTGAATAACATTGAAAATGACTGATGACTTTTAAATGGCTTGCCAATTGTAGCATATGAAAAAAGTTTAACAAATATTCAATAAAGTATTAGGCTGAATAGCTTTAATTAGGAGTAAATGTAATTTTTTGGAAAAATTTTGCTTAATATTAATTTCAGTAAATAATATTATGTTTAATAAGCTTAATAAGTTTTAAAAATGCTGCTAAATTTATTATTTACGAATTCAGCAAGCTTTGCCTGAGCTTAAATACTATAAAACTTATACTTCATTGCGCTGAATATGGAAAATTTCTCACCAATTCAGCTGAAATAGTCTACCAAAATTATGTTTCAACTTTTTATATTGGCAGCATTAGCGCTGAATACACTCATTTTCAAACTAATTGCGCTGAATTAAATATTTTAACAGATGTAGCCAACTTTTCGCCAACTTAAATACTTTAAAATGTATATTTCATTGCGCTGAATACGATTAATACGCAACAAATTTAGCTGAATACCTGAATACTATACCAGAAGAAAAATATTTGCAAATTTAGACGTTTCCCTTAAAAAATACTGCGCTGAATACGTAATTGTTCAGTCTAAAAACGCTGAATTAAATATCACAAATTCTGATTAGCAATCAAACTTCATTCACACACTTACTTCTCTCAATCTCTTTGGTTGTCATCACAATCACGCGCGTATTCTCCTGCCAGATCATGTTCCAGAAATCGACAATCGTGGTCTGCAAGCAACCCTGCGTCGCAATGTACACCTTGAACATGTCACGCTCCGCCAACTCATTGTTGCTCTTCTTCAACAAACCACCCGCACTGGAAGTCACACGCGAACTGCAACTAGCAGTGCTGTAAGCGGTCGCCGAAGAGGCCGACGAATCACTGCGCTTATGCTTATTAATCGTATCCGATTTTTTATTACACGTTATACAATTACTCAGCGGTAGCACAGACGTTTTGACGGCACACTGCACACATGTCTTGTTCAGCTTCTGACAGTTGGTACAGTGCTTCTGTATTTGGGCGGCGGTGCAAGCGGGACAAGAGGCCACCATGCCAGTGGCATTCAAACTCTCCGACGATGAGCTCATGCTATTCAAATCGCCATCGGTGGGTAGGCGAATATAATTCGCATTTATATATTCAGCGCCAGGCACACTTTTGTCCACATCCAGTAGTTTAACGCGGGTATGATCATCTACAGTCGGCGACAGCGGGTGTGCGAGCGAGAGCGGAAAGAAATATGAAAAATTATTAATTACAAAAAAACAAAAAAAAATCGGCATGCAAAGTTAAGGCGAGTGGAAATAAAAATAAGCATTTTCGCACGTGCGAACCATACACGCTGCAGGCGAGTGCATGCATGTATGTGATACTTATAAATCAATGTTGGTGTGTGTTTTGTGACTTACAGGGCAGTATATTGCGATAGCGATTCTTGCTGCGATTCTCCGGCTTGTAGCCTTCAATGCGACAAAACATATTGCGATTGTCTTGCTGCAGCGATTCGAATTCCTCCCAAAAGCCGCCCTTAAAAGGGAAAACATATAATTAGTAAATTGTAAAGGTTACTCATACGCCATGTGGCGTTTTTTTTTTAATGTACTTTACATCAACTTACTTTGGCCAGTTGATTCACTCGTTCATTGATGCCGCCGGCTGTGATGCGCGTCGCATTGAATGGCTGACGCAAATGCACCACTGTGCCGTATGTCTCCACCATCGGATTGCGTTTGTAGTGTTCGATGAGTTCGGACAACGTGTCGAAGGGTTCACCGCCGCCAACGTCGTATTTTTTGTCCTGCAAAGAAGGGAGAGAAAGTGTTGAGTTGGTAGATAAACAGTTTAATTTACAATAATTAGCAATATAAGAGAATTTACTAAAAAAAATTGTTTTAAATATGGGATAGCTGAAATGAAAATATTAGCAAAAAAAAAAATTGTTTTTATGAAAATAGTGATATATATATGTATATCTCTTTGTAAAACATTTATAAAATATTATCAAAACTAAAATTTGCAAAAATCCCGTTTGAAAATTTAACATTAAAAGCAATAAAAAATTTACAAAAAATTTAAAAAAATATATACAAAATTTTAAAAATTAAAAAGAAGTTTTTTAAATTACAATATGTTATATATGTACATATATGATCTATAAACAATTTTAAAATTAAAATAGTATATACAAAATTTTACAAATAAGAAAGAAATTTAAAAAAAATACAAAAATTTAAAAAGAAATTTTAAAAATAAATTTAAAAAAATTAATATAACATATACAAATTTTTAAAACTTAATAAGAAATAAAAATAAATAAAAAAATATGTTAGAACAAATAAAAAAAATATAAAAATAATAAAAATATTATATAAAAATAATAAAAATATTATATAAAAATATTAATAAATACTCTTTTTTGAATTAACAAATAAAAAAAGTAAAATAACATATAAATAATTTTAAAAATTACAAAAGAACTTTTAAATTTTTTTTAATAAATAAAAACAATATTAAAATTAATAAAAGTATAATATAAAAATAATAATAAATATTTCTTTTCAAATTAATTATAAAATATTATTTAAATTTAAATGTTAAAAACATAAATTAGGGTGGAGCGAAAAATAATTTTGGTTTTGCTTAGCGTAAGTTAAAATTTGTAGATTATCAGAAAGGAAAATTTTTGGAAAACAATTTTTTTTTAACATCTAGAGGCGGCCTTCACTTTTAAAGTAAATTTCGAGTTAAAATTTTTTTTACATTTTTGAAAACCTACTAATTTTACCCTCCGGCTAAGCAAAAAAAAATTCGCTCCACCCTAATATACATATTAATTTTAAAAACCTTAAAAAAGTAATAAATATATAAGAAAAAATTAAACAGGATTTTTTCGAAGCTACATATGTATGTATAGAATATAAAAAAATATTTATTAGGAATATTAATACATTACGTATAAAAAAGAAAAAAATAATAGAAGTAAAGAAAAATTAAATTTTTTAAGCGAAAAATAATAATAATATATATATGTATGTATATAAAATAAAAAATTTAAAGAAGTAAAAAAGTATAATAGTTATTTAAACATACAAATATTTTAATACAATAAATTTAATTTTTTAAATGTTTTTGTTTTTTTGTCAGAAATAAATAATATAAAATATAATGATAACAAAACTTAAAAACATTAAAAAAATAATAAAAGTAAACAAAACATTACACAGGAATTTTTAGGCGCAAATAAATCATTTATGAACATAGGTATATAAGATAAAATAAATCAAAAATTTGTTAAAAAAAAATTAAATAATTAATTAAGATATAAACTTATTAATTAAAATATTATTTTTTTAAATAATATAATAATAATATATTAATATAAATGCGACATTAACCTTTTTGGAAAAATAAAAAATTTATAATCCGCAAAACTTTTTATAATAGGAAAAAATGTTTACTAAAAATGTGTTCTTAAAATATATATGTATGTATATCAATACATTTTTTTTAATATAAAAAGTGAAAATTAATTTAGAAAAAATAAAATTTAATAATTAAAAATAAAAAATAAAATAAAATAAAAATTAAATAAAAAAATAAACAATAACAAAAAATAATAATATAATAAAAAAATAAAAAATAATATAATAAAAAAATAAAAAATAATATAATAAAAAAATAAAAAATTATATAAAAACCAAATATAAAAATAAGTATAACATAAAAAAAAATAAAGGAATATAAATAAACCAAAAACAAATCAATAATAGTAAACTAAAGAAAAAATATAAATTTTATGTGAGTTAAAACGATTATAAAAAAAAAATCAATGAAAGTATATAATAAAAAAAATCTGCTCTATTAAAGTCTAGCTCATTATCCTTAATGGCTGTCATAAATTGTTGAATTTTTATTTAAACTCTACAAAAAAAAAGATTATTTTACAACTAAATAGTACAACAAAAACGGTAAAGAGTACAAAAAATGTTGAAAAGCAAATAAACAACAAACCAGCAGAGTACGTACATATGTATATAGAGCTTTTATTATTGTTTTTGTTATTACTTTTCCGCACTTCGACTTAAGCAATTCAAATCAATTTTTCCGCAACTAACTAATTCATTGCTTCAACACTTTGTTAATATTTGCTTTTGTTGGATTTTTATCGCGCTACAAAATCGCAATGTTGATTGCGGCGCGTTTTTTTTTTTTGTTGTTGTTATGGTAAATTTGCTACTTTCATAATATAACATGCATATATTTGCATATTCGCATTTGCTACTATTTCTATCGTTTAGTTGTTGTTTTTGCTGTTGTTGTGGCAGTTAAAGATCACTAGCGTTTGGTTTTTTGTTTAAGTAGTAATTTAACACTACATTTTGTTCTAGCGCTTTTTTGTTGTTGCTATTGGTTTTTTAATCTTTTTTGTAGTCTTTTACATATTCTCATTATTTTCCAAGTAATTGACTTGCTGGCAACAACAACAACAACAGCAAGAACCAAAACAAAATACGAAACTTTTGCATTTGTTGTTTTTGTTATATTGGCGCAAGTCATTTGCTTGGCTGCCACTGATATTACAGTGATTTTTGTTATTATTGTTTTTGTTGCCATTGCTGTATTAGTTAGCTGTAAGTTACGTTGCTATGTACGAAAATTTCAAGGTCGTACGTTTCGAGGAAAAACATTGAAATAATGGAAATTTTATTTTTTATACATATTTTTCGCAGCAAATTTTGGATGAGTGAGTCACATGACATGTAATTTCATGTAACGCAAATAGAATAATAATAAATAATAAAAAAAAAGATTATGAAATATAATAGATATATTATTTAAAATGTAAAAATTATATAATAAATATTAAGAAAAAATGTAGCAAGACGTACTACGAAATATTTATACTTTAAAAAAACGAATTTCCGCAAAATTTCAAAAAGTCTACAAACTCTCCACTTTAAAAAGTAACTTTAAATTTTACATTTCAATACTTCGACAAAGGCTTTTATTATTGCTAATATTTTTAAGCGGCTTGTTATTATTTGGAGAGTTTTTTATCACACACTTCTAAGTAACTGCATGCATTTTTTGTTATTCCCATTAAATTTGGGGCTATATTTTTTTTTTTTAGAAAATTTTGTACATTATTTTCATTAAAAAATATAATTCAAAACAAATAGATAACACAAAAAAAGATATTTTCTTCAACGTTTCACTAACGATTGGGATTGCGATTTTAATTTATACATGACTCACCTGCCGCCATCGGATCATGACGTGCGTCACTTTATCATCAGTACGCACTGAAAGCACAAAATCACCAGGTTTACTTTGAGATTCACGCACCAGAAATGAACCATTCTTTCCACGTTCTAGTATCAATTTTTCAGCTTCTTTACCCGAAAGATTGCCATGAAACCATCTGGAAATAGATGAAGAAAAAATATTGGTGAAAATATATTAAAAGTAATTTAAAAAAAGGTACTTAATATATAGTGGAATAATATTTATTAGATAATTTAAAAAATTTTCATATATTGCACAAAATGTGTAAAAATAAAATGATAATAAAGTTTTAAAACATAGCAGTAAAGTATTTTTTACTCTCCACTTTCTAAAAAAAAGTTATAATTTTGTATATTAATGCTTAAGGAAAATATATAATTTCTGCTAAGTCTTTAGGCAATATATTTTACTTGGGAGAATGTTTTTTATGTTGCAAAATACTAAGAAAATATGTATTTTAATATTTGCGAAGTCACTACACGTAACTTTCGTTATTTACATATAGGCAAATATAAATCTTTGACTATGTATAGTTTGTTTTATAAAAATTTATAGCTCTCACCTGATATAACAACTTTATGCAGACAGAAAACTTTTCAATATATACATGTACATATAACTATATTTTTTAAGTTTTTTTATATTTTTAAGCATAAAAAATTTTTTTATTATCTTTTACATTCTAATTTATATACATTGTTTTATTTATTTTCTTTTTGCAAGAAGTTGTTTTATTTCACTGTTTTTTAACTAACAATGAGCAAACATTGTTTTAATTATGGATTGTTATTTCAGCGCCTTAGTCTTAATTTTATGTTTCTTTTTCTCTTTCATTAAATTTTCTTGTATTCTACTTGTTGATTTTGAATTTAAAAAAAATTATTTTTAATTTATAATTATTTATTAATTAAAAGAAAATTATTTTCGTATATTTTTTAGTTTTATTTTTATATTGATATATTTATATTGTTTTTTTTTATAATATGTTATAATTCAGAAATCAATTAATTTTAAATTTTTTTTTTCCACAGAATTCACCAAAATTTCAACTACCAGTCAAGAGAAAAAATTCAATTGCCGAGCTCACGTAATTCAATCCGTCTGAAGGTGAATATTCTATACCAAAACAACAAATAAATTGAAACAAGTATGATTCTAATATTCACAATTCTCGTTGTAGTAAATGACACCGTTTCGCCTCGCAATGCAATTGCGTACTACAAAGCGCAAAAAACAGTGCGCTGCACAAAAGCCAGTTCAAGCGCTCGTACTATAAGCTGTTACCTGTGCGCGTGTGTGTGCGATGTGTGGATAAATGGGCATGACGACAAACCAGCGACATAATATACGAATTTAAAGCAAACACTTACACGTATATACATACAAACGTAAGTAAATATATACTAGAGCGCGCAATTGTATATGGTGTCATATAAGTCGAGTCCAAATACTCGCCGTCACACTACAACCCTCAATACACATCCAGAATAGGTGACCCTAAGCAGCTAGTCACCGTAAGCGTAAACCCCCAAGCACAAATCGAGCTAGAGAAGTATGTAGTGGTAGCAAAACATAAGAGCGCACTGTCGGCGAGCGTGTAACGACGTCCAGCCAGCTCGTCAAATAGACAATCGACAGCCGACCAGTGAGCTTGCCCGTCAGCCAAACGCTCGACTCCCTACTTGTCGGGCTTCGAGCAAGTGGTTTTGCGGCCAACACAACACAACACAAAACAATAAATGGCAAAGACAACATTCAAGCAACAAGAACAACAACAGCTGTTAGCTTTTGAGCACAAAGCAAATGCTAACACACACACACATACATATGTACATACACCAGCGCTGCGTGTATGTATGAGTGCAAGCTTGCACATATGGTTTATGGCTAAGTTGCATTGTTGCTGCAGTTTTCGCCAACGAAAAAGGCAACTTGCACTTGGCCCGGAACAGCTGAGCGCGCTCTCACTTAGCGCGGGGCATGCTCTAAGCGCATTAACATGCATATAAACATACACATACATATGCATGTACATACATATATGCTTGCCAACAAATGTGCGTTCCAGCACGCTGCATGCGCTATATAGGTTGTTGCATCACGCATACACATCTACTTACGTATATATGTACATGCACATCCACATATACACATATCTACATGCAAGTATGTATATGCATTTAAGGGGGTAAGTTGACCTTATATTCTCTACTTCCTCTGCCTATTTATTTTACAATTTCGCAAATAACCGCGAAGGCCATGTCGGAAGGAATTGCATGCTCATTGTTATTGCTTACTTCTTTATATTTATTGCTTTGTTCTACTAAATTTTTAATGTGAAAAAGACGTTGTGGCAATAATTTCAAGGAAACCTGTAGCTAGCGCATGTAATTGCCAATGGCGCTATTGAGTCATGCCGTTATGGCATTATATGGCAGCGGAACTTTGGTGGGAGTTGGAGCAGATGCATCAGCAAATGAAGGTCAGTGGCCAACATATACAGAATTATGTGTCAGTTTAAATGTACAGCGGTAAATAATGGTAAGTTCTACGAGGTTGAATTGGTAATTAAATTGGTACTTTTAAACCCTAAATTAGTTTGAGCAAGAGAAAGCACTGATTTTGAATTTGAAAAAATTTATCTTTCACATATTGTTAGAGATTTGAATGTTACGTCACTTTACTTAAAGTCTCCAAACTCTACACTCGCCAAAATGCATTTATAATTATACCAAATAGAACATAAACAAATTAAAGTACATTTCTACACAGTTTCTGCTTGTTTTTAAAAAATCTCCAAAGTCTCCACTAGTAAAATTTTTTTTGCAAATTACATGCAAATAATATCGAAAGCCTGCACTGTCTTGAATCGAAGCCGTTATATCGCTTAAAATGTATGTACATAATACATACATATGTATACCATATAATATGTAAATTACTACATATGTAAGAACTTTCGAACCGCTATTCATTTGTCACAATTAAAAAAACTGTCACACTTATAAATAGAAAAATGTTATGAAATATATGCTCATTGAATACTAATTACAAAATTAGAATTTTAATTTGTATGTTTTGAAAGTCTACATCAGCAATTAAAAACTTACGACTTTAATTGTGTAATAGTATAATTGCAATGTAAATTCAAAAATTGTAGATCTTATGGAACTAACTATTAGTTTTATATGAAAGTAGCATTTCTAATTCGAAAACATTTAATAATTCATTAATTGATCCTGTGTCGAAGCATATGATATACCAGTTTAAATATTTCAAATACTCTCACTTATTTTTAGCGTGCAAATAAATCATGTAGTCTAATTATATAAACACTGTTGCCTAATGATTGAAAAGGAATCATTAAGTGGACATACTAAGACCTTAATTATACTAATTATTATTATGAATTAGTCACTAATTAAATTAATTTGAAACACTTGACCTCGTAATAGTTTATTAATACTGTAATTCAAATCAATTATATCAAAAGTAAGTACCTTAATTAGAAGATTTCAGCTTATTTGAAGCATAAATATTAAAAAAAAAGTAATGTAAGCGATGGATTTAAAAAATTTTGTAAACACCTTAGGCAAGTCTCCAAACTCTCCACAGTTTTAATGGGTCTATCTCTTAATTTATTTTTAAGGAATCAAAATAATGCTTTTATGCTGCATAGTTTTGAACGGTTTTTAAATTCTACACTAGCTAAAACTGGTTTTTTGCATAATTTTATATGAATTTTGCTGGCATAATTTTTCTAAATGTTCATTTCCGTGCAATAACTACATATAAAAATCTTATAGGACATAGTTTTGATTAGTTTTGAAACTCTACACTAACAGAAAATAATTATTTTTGATCACGAATGAATTTCACATAATTATAAACAAATGTTATATTTTTATTACTTTTTCGGAGTCTCCAAACTCTTCATTCAACGCAAATTAAAAAATTTTGAGGAGAAATTAAGTATGCACATATTTACTGTTCTGAGTAGACATATTTACTGAAATTTATTATATATGACAGTCAAACAGCAAATTTGTATATACACGTGTATGTAAATACATAAGTATGCCAAATAATTGTTTATAAAAGTTTTCAAAGAATTTAATCTATTTATTTTTAAAAAGTTTAAAATGTATGCATGGCATAATGAAATTGGACGAAGTCATGTGAATTTATGAAAACACAAAGTGTATTGACAAATTAAATACAAATTATATAAATATAATATATAGTATACCTTATGTACATACATATATTCTATCCACATGTGGGTTTGAGTAAACAAAAACAATTTGTATATTCTAAAACCGCAAAAATGGCAATTATTAAATAAACAAGAAAATATTCCATTAATGAAAGATTACGAAGCAAACAAAGGCAAGAGAGAGTGAAAAAGAGTGTGAAAGAGGCAGAGGCATTTTCTCAATCGCATATGCAAATTTATGCCAACAGAAAAATAGAATAAATAATAAAGTATAATATATAATATATAAACGAAATAAAGATGTAAATAAACAAATGCGTTTTATGTGAGTTTCTCATTCAAGAGGAATTAAGTATGTAAATATAGTTAGCAACAAAAGAGCGTACAAGGTCGGTCATATATGCTACGTACAATTAATACACGCATGTAAATTGCTCATACGCCGTGGCGCCAATGGACGACAGTTCAGCGACATTACAAAGTTGTAAAGCGATAAACTTAATAAAAATGGACTCAATAATGGGGCTTAAAGAGCTACTTATTGCGCTAGGCACGATTACTGGAAGTAGTTGCTGTTGCTAACATTTTTTTAAAGCATAAATTGTAAAATTAGCGACAAACCTTAAGTAAATACTCATTAGCACTATGAGTATAATTTAAAATAAAAACTTAGCAGCTGTTTACATACACATATGTATGTGGGTATATACCATACATATGCACATATGTATAGAAATATAGAAAACCGTCTATGTTTAGTATATTGATATAGGTAAAAGTAGAAAATGCATGTGGCTGTCGTTCGAAAGCTAGTTTAAACCAATAAGCAATGCATAGTGAAGGATAAAGCGACTACATTGGTATAACAGCACCATTTAAAACTATTTTGAAAAACTTGACAAACACTAAAATTACTGAAG